TCTGTAGTACTAGCTCCACCACTGCGCTTTGTCCCCTATTTGCATTCAAAGAAAAATACTCATTTTGACTAAGCTTGTAGGTGTTAATAGAATTTTTTCCTACGTCTGCATCGTGAGCCTGTTTAAGCAGAAATTTAGCTCCTGCTGCTGTGCTTTCAGTAATATTTATCATCTGCGAGTTGCTGGGAAATAATGGCGAGTTATCATTTATGTCCAATATAACAACTTCAATACGATACAGTTTTAAAGGGTTATTTATGGCTGCTTCTACACTAAGTAAACATGTTTGCTGTCCACCACAAAGCTCTTCTCTGTCTATTCTTTCATTTACATACAGGGAACCCGTTTTTAAATTTACCTCGAAATATTTTTTTTTAGATCCAGCAACGATTTGAAACATGCGAGTCTGCAGGTCCTGGACATTAATGTTCAGATCTCTCGCTGTATTTCCCAAAACCGTTCCAATTTTCGACTCCTCGGCGATGGTGTATGTGAGCTGTCCAAACACAGCGTCCAGATAATAGTCCAAAAGCGCAAGGAAAACACAAATCCATATCGAGCTCGGTCTCTCAAAAAGAAACATAATTCCAGAGGTATGACGAGGCGCACAAACAAGCAGGATGTTTTGCCGTATGGTACGGAGATAACGGATGAGAATCGGGAAGCATTTATTTCAAAATAAATGTCAGCATGTTCTCCGCTACAGAGGACGGCCTTTCTTTGTCTCCAGACCTCTCTTTGTAACAGAGTAAAAAGGAATCATCGAGTGATCTGGGAGGAGTCCCGAATAACCATACTGAAATGCTGCGGTCTGTAGTGTCCTCTTGTGTGGATTCGAAGGAAACGCGCTCCTCTGATCGTTTAAATATTCAACGCTTAAATATTAATGCAATACACCTATTTAAAGGCTTGTATAAGGGAATGTACAGTCTTTTACAAGAGAAATTGACATAATAAGTTGTATATTTAACATAAGTATTCAACTTGATAATAAAAATAAAAAGGTAATGTGAATTTATCTATTGATGCGTCATTTTATGTCATTGTTTTCCGCTGTGTTTGTTCTCAAATTGTTGAAGATCTTGTCTAGAAAATATTGCAACATAAATGATTACATTTTATGATATTACAAAGAGTAAGAGACATGTTAAGAAGATTGTGTCAGAACCGAATTTGGCTAAAAAAACTTTTGGCATTTAATATCACACAATGGCCAGACATAGTTTACGTCCATTCTAGAGAAACCGTGTTTTATCTCTAAATGGTTTATTCTAACTTTCTTAATAACCTTGAAGACTTGTCAACAGCTTGCGTGTGAAAAACGATTCAAAAGGATTCGTTGCCGCTACACAGAAAAAAAAGATAAGCATAGAGAAACAGTAATACGCGGATAACAAACAATGTAACTACGTTCTTACCTTTTCCTTATTTGGTAAAGTCCGAGTTCTCGTAAAGGTGTCTCCTCCGTTAATACTGATCAGTTCAGCATCTACAGGTGGGAACGGTGTTGGAAAAACCACTACATCACTCTTCAGGGTGTCTGAGCTGAAGCACACGTCATACTGCTGAGAAGCTTTAGAGTAAGACCAGCTCCCGTCAGGGTGCGTGGTGATCATGGGAGCGCCATACTTGCTGAAAGTGCTGTCTGTCCTGTGGCATCTGACAGCTATTAAACTGATCAGACTCAGCAAAAATATCAAAGAGACCGAAACAATGGCGACCAGAAGGTATAAGTTCAAGTCAGAGAAGTTATCATCCTTTATAGGCACATGTCTGAACTGAGTCTGGTCATCAGCTGTGTTTTCAACAACAACCACCTCAATAGACACGGTAGCTGACAGAGAAGGTTCTCCATTATCTGAAACCAGAACAACCAATGGGTGGGTTTTCAGGTCATTGTCGCTCATCCTCCGTTTTGTCCTGATTTCCCCGGTGCTGGTTCCAATTCTAAACAGGTTGTTTCCTTTGGGCTCAGACAGGTGATAAGAAAGCAGCGCATTGTAGCCAGAATCCGCGTCCACAGCCCTGATCTTTGCTACAAAGTATCCTGCTTCGGCTGAATAAGGGATGGCCTCGCTGTTAACGGATCCATGCTCAGAATAGGGAGCTAAAATAGTTGGATTATTGTCATTTTCATCCAGAATTAAAACATTAACAGAAACATTGCTGCTTAGCGGAGGGACACCAGAGTCCGTGGCCCGAACTTTAAACTTAAACGTTTTTAACTCCTCATAGTTAAAAGGCTGTAAAATGATTATATCTCCCGTATCCGGGTTTATATTTATCATTGATCTTAGAGGCAGCGGGTCCCTGTTGTCATATACAAGCGAGTAGCTAACCTGACCATTTTGATCACTGTCTGCATCAACCGCTGACACAGTTTTAATAACTGTTCCTGATGGACTGTTTTCATTAATAAAGATGTTTATGGTGCCTTCTGTGAAATAAGGGTTGTTATCATTTACATCAGAGACATGTACAAGAAAAGCGCTCGTGCTGGACAGAGGGGGGCTTCCTTCGTCTGTAGCGGTAATACTGATATTATAATAAGGCACCGCCTCTCTGTCCAGAGGACCACCCACCACTAAAGAATAATAATTTTTATAATTTGTTTCCAATTTGAAAGGAACGTTGTTTGAAATTTCACAGTGGACCATACCATTTTTACTGCTGTCTTTGTCAAATACTGAAACAAGAGCAATCGCGGTACCAATGGACACGTCCTCTTTCACTGTATCTAACAGTGGGGTCAGTGTAATTTCAGGAGCATTGTCATTTACATCTAGTACTTCTATTAGTAATTTCCCATGCGATGTCATAGGAAATACTGCTCTATCACTAGCTTGAATTCTAATCTCAAAAGCATTATTCTCTTCAAAATCAATATTCTTTATGTTTTTTACTGTTCCAGTTTTTTCATCAATTGCAAAGAGCTCATTTGATTTCACCCTCCCGACAGCACTTAACGAATATAACACTTCTCCATTGAGGCCTGCATCTAAATCTGTCGCTGTTAGTGTTATTATTGAAGTGCCTATTGTGACGTTTTCATACACACTGGCTTTATAAAGAGTTTTCTGAAATTCAGGGGCATTATCATTAATATCCAAAACATTAATTGTCAAAGCCATTGTTCCAGATTTAGCAGGTGTCCCTCCATCTATCGCAGTTAGGGTGAGCAGAATTAAATTTTTTTTTTCTCTGTCCAAAACTTTCTGAAGCACCAGTTCGGGTGTTAAATTTTCTCCTTTGTGCGTTTCCAAAGAAAAATATTCGTTTTGACTAAGACTGTACGAGTGTATGCTGTTTTTGCCAACGTCTGAATCGTGAGCTGGATGAAGAAGGAATTTAGTGCCCGCTGCTGTGTTCTCAGTGATGTTTAACTCCTGCGTCTGGCTGAGAAATAACGGTGAATTATCATTGACATCCAATATTGTTATTTCTATTCGGTACAGTTTCAGTGGATTATTCATAAGGGCTTCAACAACGATTACACATTTTGCTTCTTTGCCGCAGAGTTCTTCTCGATCAATTCTCTCGTTAACATACAGCAGCCCCGTCTTCAGATTTACCTCGAAATATTTTCTCCTTGATCCAGAAACAATCTGGAACATACGGGATTCCATTTCATGTACATTAAGGTTAAGATCCTTTGCAATATTTCCGACAGATGTCCCAAGGTTTACCTCCTCCGACACGGAATAAGAAAGCTGTCCTAAAACCGCATGAAAAAAGCAATTCAGCAGTACAAAGAAGAGGTTCATCCACAAAGAGCTCGATCTGATGTTAAAATTCATTTTTCAATTTGGAGAAAACGTACATCAAAACCTTTAAAGATAATAAAAGAAAAAAAAAATCTTCTCCGGATGATTCTTCCCTGCTTCCTTATCCTTCACACAGTTTCTCTCTTTGTTCAAAACCATAAAATGTTATCATTCCCTGAAACTGGGAGGATACACGAGAACCCAGGGTGGACAATTTGATGTCACGGTCTATTATGTCCCCTTGTGGACAAGCGCAAAAACTACGTCCACAATTAACATAAATTTCATCACACAGTGTTAGTTATTATTTAGCACGGCTTAAAGGGAAAAAAATAGATTTCAACTGCAAGTCTAAAACTCGCAACTGGCAAAATTATACTTTTTTTGTTATATGAATGGATAAATTATTTTATCTAAGTGTCATGCGGCCAACCCACATTGATAAAAAAACTGTACAAATACAAAAAGGAAGATAATATGACACCATTTTAAATATACCAGTTGTTTTTACAACGTAACAGGGTAGCCTACAACGTTTTTAGTCTCATTTTCCCTGCTTGCTTAACATATCGAGGTACACAAAAAATGCATTCTCAAACAACCAGCCCAAGCTTTCACGTTCAGCTAAGCAAAATAGATCAGGATTACTGTATAATACAGTGGACAAAGAAATAAAATAAAGTTTGTCCTCCACTAAATGCAAGTCAACAACCTTGCATAATTGATAACAATAAACTCTTTTCAAAACCATACAAAAATCTTTTGGCATTAATAATCAATTGCAAATAAAGTTAAATGAAAGTTGCTGTCAATACTAAATGTTCAGTTTTTCTTTTTGTTTAACTAAAACCTTAAACTTCAGTTTATTTTAAGCCCTCCCCAAAAAGTACTGTAATTAAAAATAATATATTCTGAACGTATAAGAATAACCTGACATTCTGCATCAATCAAATATAAAGCACTTAAAGTGATTAATTTCATTTCCAGCAACTAAAAAGATCTTGAAAATATCTAACATTTTTGAATAGAGCTGAATCTAAAATCAATGCGATGAAATAATAAATCAACTTGGAAATAATGACTTGAAATACATGCAATCGGTACTCTGGCAAATTACAGTTAAACATCATTAGCACCGTAGCTGAAAAAATCCTACATATCCAGCAAATAAATAAAGACACCAAATTAAGTGTAATGTATCTCAGCAGAAAAATTGGATTAATCAGAAACTTAGCGTCAATTCTGCAAAAACAAAAAATAGAGTAAAATGATATACAACACCCTGGGAACCCAGCAATATTGAACTGTGCAATTATGAGGAAGGAAATCTCTTCTTACCTTTTCTTGGCTGGGTAAAGTCTGAGTTCTGGTAAAAGTATCCCCTCCATTAATGCTGATCAGTTCAGCATCTACAGGTGGAAATTGTGCGGGAAAAACCACTACATCACTCTTCAGTGTGTCTGA